GTGTAAAGCAAATTAACTAGAAACAACTCAAATACCAAGAAGAGTCAAAAAGATAAACAAAATACATAGACTATAACATACATACAATGACACATAATACAAAACAAAAATTAAATGGCAGAAGTTGCTCAGAATTATTAGATGAATATAAACTTTTTAAACATTCAAAATGAAACACGTGCTTGTTACAAGCAGGATCTTCAAGAGGAAATCTTTGAGGTCTGTGTTTTTATAAACACCTGTTCACAGACCTACAATTCATAAGCCTGCAGTTTGGGGAAGATATAGGACATACATTATAGTTTCATAATAGGGAATTCCTTGTTGACCCACCACAAAACTTCTCTCTAAGGAGGTGTTATATCCTCATTGCTACAATTCATCCTAAGTTGGGAAGTTTGCTATCATATAAAGCTTTTCATTTTACTTTTGGAGCATTGCAAATTAGTTAAATACTGGTCATACAGCTAGAACAATTTATATTTCCCTAAACTTGGATAGCTTCTATGGTTATCTAGATTGATTGAAACAATTTCATTTTAAGATGACAATAATTTTCGAAGATTGCCTATTGTCAGTTCTCTGGAGTGTTTTTAATGCTTTCAGAATTTATAGAACTGGAAGCATGGTTCAGGTGGTAAAGAACCAGATCCTCAGTTCAAACTATGGCACTGCCAAAAAGAAAAAGAAAGAAAGTGAAAGGAAGGAAGGAATGAAGGAATGAACAAAGGAATTTCATTTTGAATGAAGGTAAACTAAAATTTAAAACTATAAAAAAATGAAAGAGGATAATAGTGGATATTTTGTCATAAATAAGACCAATATCTGTTAGTTTAGAAAAATAAATTATGATCAAATATGCTTTGAGCTACTTATATATTTGAAAACATAATTAAAATGTTAAAGGCGACAAGAAGTTTTTGTTTGCTTACAGTAATGTCTTGAGAAGCTTATACCAAAAAACTGATCAAAATTTGAAACTTCTACTAGGCAAGAAACTGAAAGAAACACAACTGACTTTGTTTTGCTAGAAAATGCATGTTAATATATGCACACTACTCCCAGATGATTTTCCCAGCCATCCTAATTAGTAAAGTTCTACCATATGACTATTCTCTTTTGTTAAACTCTGGCATTTAGGTATGCAGTAACACTTGGGACATTGCCCAGACTTTTAAAAAATTACTTAAAGCATATGTTACACAAGCATTTTGTGAAGAACACTTTATTTTGCTGAAGTGAGATAGGAAAAATTGGACTGATTTTTTTGAAACCACTTGAATGTATTACTGAAATGTCTTGATAGTAAGTTTCTGGAAATCCTTTATAGTAAATTCATCCATTGGTACTATGCTATATTGTTTATAAATATTAATGTTCATGACAGAAAAGAATTCATCTATATCAAAAACTTATTATCTACTCTGAAAACTGAATGTGTTGCTTTAAAAACTCATTATATGATAAAATATTTCCTCAATTAAAACTTACGAAATTTTAAATGACCATATTTATCTTGACATAAACATAAAAGCATAAGAATAGGAAATGTTCTATGGAGCTTTTTAGAACTTCCATCAGTTGATAAGATTATGATCATTTTATTAAGTTTAACTTTCGGCAAGCAAGAGCATCTCAGTAAAATCATAACTCAGAATGTTGATGTATTATTTAGAACCCTATTTTTAAAAAGGATAATTAAAATGAAGTTCTTAATAGTTAATTAGGATGATGTGCTACTTTGATATCTTAGCAGTAAAAAAGAAAAGGATAAAGTTTAGTAAAATTAGCTCAAAGAAATGAGGGGTGATATGTTAGGATATTTACCTTTCCCCAAGGAAGCAATTTAGTCCCTGATAACTACTTCTTTCTTATTTTATGATGAATATATTTCTGTGTATGTGTGAGTAAAAAATACTGTTCTTTTATCTTTTGTAGCATTATTGACTATAACATTGTAGTAATTTGTATCAGAGTATTTGTGCTATGGTATATCAATGAGTATAAAAAGCATCACATCACACAATGGCTCTGTATCTTTTTCTGGGGAAAGAGTTAATACATTTTCAGTTGTACCAAGTAGTTACATTATGTCAAGTAGAGCCTGCCCTTGTTATTATATTAATTTGAAGATTTAAGCGTAGTTTACAAAGATGGCATGTATGTATGTGCCAAGATGATAAGGGATGGATTTGGATGGTTAACGTTCAGGATCAAGTTGGCTAGCTCAGGATACCAAATACTTGGTCAAACATTATGGTAAGATGTTTATGTAGAGGTATTTTAGGTGAGATTAATATTTAAAGCAGTAGGCTTGGAGTTAGGAAGTTAAGATGATTAGCCTACAATAATGTGGAACTTATCCTATCAGCTGAAGGCTGAATTTAAAGAGTGACAGCTCACCTTAGGTAGAGGAAATTCTACAGCCATCTTTAGACTCAATTTCAGCATCAGTTCTTCGTACCCTGTGGTTAAGCGCTAGCACTCTGAATGGACTGCTTTGGTATAACTTTGAATCTACCAAGAAAGAGTGAAAAAATTCCTGGGGCAAATTATGTAATATCATTAAGCCTTAAATTCTTCCTCCTTAAAAAGGATATAATAAATAGTAGAGTTTATTTTACAGAATTATATTGAGGAATTGATAAATTTTACACATGGAAAGAATTTAGGCAAAACATGCTCCACATGTTGGACATTGCTCTAAGCATACAGTGAATGTTAACATTGATTTCCAAGCTTCTTCTAATATAGTTACAAAACTTGCATTTAGTTCTACAAAACAGGGATGAGATGGACAGTTTTAAGGCTTACAAGATTTTGTAGAAATCTATTTTCATAAGAAATATTCAAGATGAAAGGAAACAATCCACAGCTGTCACATTTTTCATCCTTGAAAGGAATAATCAGTATTTTAAAACAACTAAACTAGAAACACACCTTGCTTTATATAATAGCTTAAGATGTCTGCTTCTCTCTCACTCTCTTTTTACATGTGTGTATATATATATATATACATACATATGTATGTGTCTGTGTGTATCTATATACATTTATACATATATATATATATATAATCAGAGGAAGTTATTTAGATATTACTTCTAATTTTAGTAGTTCCTTGAAGATTTGTCTCTATTTTCATAATTTATACTTAAACTCTATTTTTCCATCATCCTGCTCATTTTCTACCTATGTCCTTGCCCTATGCCCCCACAATTATCTGACTAGTGTATATCATTTATATTTTTGTTGATTGTATTTTCATTTCACCAGTATTTAGGTCTACTTAAATATTCATATCATTTTGGACTAAGGAAAAAAACCTTTATAATGTTGAAACAGGTGAAAACTATGAAAAAGAAGAAAGATGGAAAATGTTTCCAACAGAAAATGTTTTAAAACATTTAATTAATGTACATCTACAAAGACTATGAATAAAAATTAAGGGGTGAATAAGAAATGTACAAAGAACATTTCTAATATTCTGTCAAGAATATGGCTTATTAATAGAAATAATACTTATTAATATTGTGTAATGGATTTTACCTTACATTCAACATTCATGCAAATGATCCTAACTGAACTTCCTAACAATCCCATAAATCAGGAAGAAAGCAGAGTTCATCAGTGTTGGCACTATAACGTTTGGGACCAGTATTTTATTTAGGGTAACAAGCCTTTTGAGTAGCATCCCTAATCTTTATCCATCAGAAACCAGGACTCTCCTCAACCCCCATCCTAAATATGAAGCCAAAAGTGCCTCTATATATTGCCTAATCTCTCCTGAGGAACCAATGGCAGAAAAACAAACAAACAATATCTTCCTTTGAAAAAATGGGGTAGGTGACACTCAGAGGAATTAAGTGACTTGCTCCCATATGCTTTGTCTCTTAATGACCTTTGCAAAGTTCACAATTATAGAATGACATGAGTCATGACTCATTTGACATAACTTCTGTGTGTGAAACATGAATCACCCCTAATAAACCAACTATTCTTTTGGTGTGGCCATTACATTATATCATACACATTTCTGAACTCAGTTTTCTCTTAGCTGATTCAGGCATTATCTCGTGCTTCTTTCTTCTCACAAAATGAAAACATGCTATTATAAATTGCAAATTAGAAAGAAGCATTATGAGAATTTACCTGAGCACCAAATACATTTACCTCGTACACACTTCTGGTTTTTTTCAAAGCTATTTCATCACAGTTCATGTAAAATGTATAAAACAAGTTATCACTTCTACTAATTAGGCAGCTAAAATGGCATTCGATGTTTATGATTATGTTTCTAGGAGTACACTGAAAATATTTTTACAGAAATATTATAGAACAATCTCTCATGTATATATATATATACATATATTTTTTGATGGTCCTTGGGCTTGACCTCTGGGCCTGGGTGTTGTCCCTAAATTTTTGTGCTCAAAGCTAGTGTTCTTCCACTTGAACCACAGCTTCACTTCTGGCTTTTCGTGATTATTTGGAGGTAAGAGTCACAGAATTTCCTGCCCAGGCTGGCTTTGAACTGGATCCTCAGATCTCAGCCTCCTGAGTAGCTAGGATTACAAGCCTGAGACACCAACGTCCATCCATATATTAAAATTTAAGGATAGAGCTTAAGCTACATTGATTACCTGACCAAAATATTTTCAATTACTTGAGCTTTCACTGAAGATTTATAAATATTCTCAATGACCTAATAAAGTGCCATCTCAGTCAGTGAAAGAAATAGCATCTCTGTTTCTCACATTATCACCTTTGCCCATGTCCGAATTGGACTTTCATATTAATATTCCAAACAGAAACACTTCACATAATTAGTAGTGTCATATTTCACTGTCTCTAGTAGTGTTTCACCTCTTTTCAAATTGTTTCTCAACAAAAGAAGGGAAAACAGCATTGCCCCATGTTTTACATTGAGACCTGTGTGCAAACTGTTAAGATGAAAAGGAAATGTTTAAAAGTCAGAGAATCCAGGGCACAAACCATACCTTCCATGACATACACCAGTGACCCCACATCTCCTTCCTTGATGATGCAACTGTCTTTGCCATATTCCACTGGGTACATACAATCCACAATCTCTTGGATCTGGGACAGTTCTAAGTTCTTCATGAAGTCATTGTCAAGGATAGCCTCCTTTATAAGATCCTTGGACCTAAGGCGAGAGAAAAAAAATGAGTTACTGACACATTTGACAGACTCTTTGATAGTTTGCGAGGCTTCGTGGAGCCAAGCAATCGTCTGGCACATTATAAATGTCTTTTCTTGCTAGGAGTCGAATAACTTTCAGAAAGACCTGAGAATGAAGTAGTACCAGGGAAGTAGGAAAGTACAGACAAAATTTGCTTTAAGGAACTGACTTAATAACCAAGTGAACAACAAACAACAAAAAAATATGCTATTTCATTATGTATTATAAATTCTTTAACCACAAACACTGTGGGAAAACTACTGGCCAAACGTTTTCAATTGAAGTTCGTGATGTGGTTTAAGAATGAATATGAGCCAGATGCTGGTGGCTCACACTTGTAATCCTAGCTACTCAGGAGGCTAACATTTGAGGATTGCGGTTCAAAGCCTGCATGGGTAGGAAAGTCCATGAGACTCTTATCTCCAATTAACCACCAGAAAAACGGAAGTGGTGCTGTGGCTTAAGTGGTAGGTAGAGTACTTTCCTTGAACTGAAGAGCTGAGGGACAGTTCCCAGGCCCAGAGTGCAAGCCCCACGACCAAAAAAAAAAGAGAGAGAGAGAGAATATGAAAACATACAGATAAATAGGGGGAACTAATTTCAAAAAATTTTGTACAAAAGAACCCAAGGCAAGTATTTTATTATTATTGAAAAAAACATGATTTGTTTACTTTTGTGTTCCTCTGCTATTAGATCTTGTGTGCTACATTAGAAGAAAGTTTTAATCTACTCTCTGTTGCATACACAATTTCCGATATGTGGCCATTCATAATATGGGGACTTCAGAAATGTGTTGGATAGAAATTTGAAACAACTAGTATCTAATTAGCTGAATGGAACCACTGGCAGAAATGTGACAGCTTTGTGTTAATCTACATTTAATGCTTGTTTCAAGAATATTATTTCATATAGCATCTTAATTTGTGGTGACCAGACACATAAAACTGTATCAAATCAGATACTTGGAATGCCATGATTTAGATATGGGTTTAAACATAGGCAGTCAGAAAAAAGATATAACCAAAGTCTATAATTGGGATGTAATGATTACCAGGAAAGTTTTTGCAGAATGTAAAAAAAAAGATGATAATTTTATTCATCAGTAAGAAGTGTCAAACTACTTACTAACAAGACAGCACTTAAAGAGGAAGAGACTTGAAGGGATATTTTCTCAGGAGGAACAGAGAATATCATCAAACAAATCACAAACCAAATATGAAGAAAGCCAAGTCACTAGCAACATAAAAAGGAAGCAATATATGTGATATTTTCTATTGAAAATTGTAATTTAATATATCTGAATAGAAGCTGGCCTTAGTACAGACTGATACAGCAAGTGGCTTTCAGGAGCATGACCTACAGAAGTAACCACTGCCGCAGCACTAGCTGTCTCTTCCTATTTGGGACTGACTTCTCACCTAGACCTCAGAGAACTGGCCTAGCTACAATGTACAATGTTTCATAATGATTTGCATTTGAGTTATAAAAAGATTACATAAGGATGAAAACAATTTAAAAGTCATTACAATGCAGAATAATCCTAGAGTGCACTGTGAATGCTGCAATTAAAATTGCATTTATAAAAAATATTAATGACAAGGGGACATAGTAATATTTTAAGTGAAAACAAGGTTCAGAATAGTTTATAGGGTAAGGAGGTGCATAATGAAATGTTTTTTAAAACCTTACATTTTTTAAACTCCATTGTGCAATCTCTAAAAATGGTAATTTTTAAAACAACTAATGGATTCATCTATGAAGACTAGTAACAATACAATTTCCTTGAAGAGCAGTCAGTGAGAAATAAAGGTGACAGTCACAGAACTGGGGTTAAATAGCATCAAATTAAGACTTGAAATACTATCAAAGCAAGTAAAAAAAAACTTATGGCTTTGTGGCCTTGGATAACAGAATTCTGTTTTTCCTACATTTCTATCTATAGATTTCTATAGTGGCCATACATTTTATGTTAATTTTTCCATTTTGAAAGTAATTCATGAAAAGCAATTGTGCTTTTAGGAAAAATAAAATGAATAAAAGACTCATTTAATTTACACTAGCTGATTGTTACTGATACATGCAACATTGAATAGATATGCTTTCATAAGGCTTGTAGTTTATGCTAAAGGCAGGAATTCTCACATTAGGAATAGATGGGATATATCTTAAGTTTTACAAACTTTCAGATGCTCTCTACTTAAAAATTCATGCTCATAAGACGTCATTTAATTTGACAGTTCTTTACTTTCATGACTAAAGAATGGGTGTTTTAACTTCTGTTTAAAATTCCCACTTTTCAAAAAGTTGCTTATCTTCAGACCTTAAAACAAGAAGGAAAAATTGTGTCCATCCATTTCATGAAGTCTCCTTAATTTTCTTACTTATTACTAATCTCAATATATTCAGTATATTCAGACTGACTCCCAGTATCTCTTGTTCTATAATTTTTTGTAAATATCAGAGTTTCTTGATCATTAAGAAATTCACTAGAACAGGGCTGAGAAGGTGGCTTAGTGGTAGAGTGCTTGCCTTGCATACATGAGGCCCTGGGTTCGATTCCTCAGCACCACATAAACAGAAAAAGCCGGAAGTGGTGCTGTGGCTCAAGTGGTAGAGTGCTAGCCTTGAGCTGAAGAGCTGAGGGACAGCACCAGGCCCAGAGTTCAAGCCCCACAATCAACCAAAAAAAAAAAAAAAAGAAAGAAATTCACTAGAAGGATTAGAGACATGGCTTAGGTGATAGAGTGCCAGCTAATGAACGAAAGCTTCAGGTACCGACTTCTAGTCCTGATCTCAAATAAAAATAATAATAATAAAAACCTTAGAAAAAGAATTGAGTTAAATTGTACTATCACTGGAACTAAATTGTAATGTCTTCTCTATTTACTATTTTTAATGCAGATCAAAAAAAGTTTAACCAATGACTTCTAACATAATAAAGTCTAGATCTTACTAACCCAGGATCTCAACCTTGTTGTTCCACTAGTAACATTTTATCCTTTGGGAAATACTAGTGTTTGATTAGAGATCTGAAGCCTAGAAATGTGCTAAGATTCAAAATAAAGCCCTCTTAGAAGAAAATAATTCGTTCTATCCAAAGATGATTGAAGAACGTCACTTTCCCTCCACTCATATTAACCCATAATACCAAGACACCAGGAAGAGACAAAGCAATGATTTCTAAGATAATCCCTCAGAATTATCCAAATTCCAAGTGTGTGACACAGAGTTCCAGCATATTACAAGATGCTATTGCTTCCCAAATTTTCAGTGGAGAACATTTAAGCTCAAGTCTCTGAAGAAAACAAACAAGGCTCTCATGTATGCACCTGTGTCAATCTAAACTAAATTTTCAGGCTAGGGATGTTGCTCAGTGGTATAGTGCTTTCCAAGCTTACACAAGCCATATGTTGACCACAGTATATGTGTAGGGTGCACACACACACATGTACACACAACTAAACCAGTGAGCTGATCAATGTACAACCTATGGCATACCATTTGTCGGCTCACATAGATACTGTCATTAAATGCCACACATAATCTGTGTCTAAAGTCTACCTGAAAGCCAGATGGAAATCCTGTGATTCTGTGCAGTGCAACTCAATAACCTCTTTCAGTGAGCCATACCCAAATCCGTGCATCTTTGTTTGTTCCCATGGGGAACTCAGAACCTCAGGTCAGCTGTCATTCATTCTCTCCACTGGCTTTCCAACACTACATTACAACTACTCAGGGCATCCAGCTACCTCTTCTTTGGTTGTTTTGTTTCCTCAAAGCAGTAGTCTAAGACTCTCAAGGCAACTAAGCTGGGAAGATACAAGTAATTTCAGTTGCACTGCCACTAGTATGGGAGCCAGAGAAAGCAGCTATCCCAAGTACTAGGTGATTCTGTGCCCAAACCCAAAGTACATACTTTCAATAATATTTTTCTAGAACTCAGAAGCCTGCTCTGGCCTTGCCTGGCCCAGAGGCATAAGAAGTAAACATAAAGATCATGACCTTTTTTATCTTCTTTATCTGCTTCTGTGTATAAACAATCTTTTTTTTAAGAGATTTTAATTTTTATTTATTTATTATTGTGAAAATACTGTACAGAGGGGTTACAATTACATGGGCAAGATAATGAGTACATTTCTTATCAAGCATTGTGGCCTCCTCCTTTGTTTCCCCTTCCCATCCCTTCCCAGCCTCCCCCCACCCCACCCCCAACCAATCCTCCCCACCCCCCAACTAAAGTTGTAAAGTTCTTTTCCACATGACGACTTGTACTTCTCATTGTTGCAAAGGGTCCACCTGTATCCTTATTTAAATGACTTGTTTTTCCCCTCCCCCTCCACAAATTATACCGACATCAAATACAGTGAAAGCAGGGGTTATACTGTGGGGGAGGGACATACAAAGCAACAAAGAAATAATCTTATAAATGTGTTAGAAACAAATGCATGAAAGAAAAAAATTTAAATACATATCTTAGGGTTCATTTTTTAAAAATCTTTTCTTCTATTCCCCCAAATCTGTGACTTTTAAAGGTCCTAAACATGTAAAGATAATTTACTCATTTTGCATTCCTCCTATCATTTTAGCAACATCCTATTCTCAACCCCTAAAGTATCAGCAATGCAGAGTTCTGTAAATTGTTTTTTAGAGTTGGGGGCAGGGGAGAGCCCTAGTTTGTAACATTGACAATTTCCATGGTACAAATACTCCTACTATATACAACTTGAAGTGACTAAGAAGCCAACCTGACTGCTGCACTTCTAATAGTTTAAGAAGTAGATCTTACACAAACCAATACAATTTTACTGTGGCATGCCCCAAGCATTTAGTGGGATTTAACCCATGGACGCTGAAACCAAGAAAATAAAACTTCATTTTCCCTGAAAACTTCATTAGGTGACCAAAAACCTCCCTGATAATTAAATGCAAGGCATAGCATTAGTTCTTTCAAACTTTCAGTTTTA